ATGATGAACACTGCATGGGAAGACCTTCATCCAGCAGTGGATTGACAAGGACCCATAGATTATGAATTATATTGTTATCTTAACCAGGAGAGATCTTTTTTCGTGAGACCTGATTACCCATTGTTACTGCCAAGACACATTCACATTTTAAAGGTCATCTGGGTTATGTTTTTCTTTCTCCACATAATGGGGTAATTTTGCAAATGACACGACGTGGTTTTGAACATCTGCATTACAGCTAATGGTGGACAGGTGTGTATTTGTGTTTGGTATGGCTTTGGCTGGAGTGTTTCGTTGGCGTGGGAGAGCGGCAGGATTGGTGTGGGTGTTGTTGGAGTTCTGAGAGATGTTGACAGATGGGTATGGGTGGGTGTATGTGTTTTATTATACGTAGGAAATGCACGTGCACGCGCGCAAATTTGCGCGTGGAAAGCGGTGGCAGAATAGTTGTCGCACTGATAACTACGCCTCGGATTAGCACGGTTGGCTACGTACGGTGCGTAAGAAGTTCAACATACATACTGCGCTCAAATCGTGGCAACTTCGGCTCAATTCCCGCTCGTGCACGCCAATGGCAAGCGGTACCCGGCAGCTGCCATTGCTTTCCCCTCGCGTCAGCCCAACTGCGGTGGTGTGTGTGTGTGTGTGTGAACGACCGGTAGCGGGGAGACAAAGGTGGCTGGCCGGATTGGATAGGTGCGGACGGGCGTATGTGTCGCAAGCCGTGATGGCGCGTGGGCCGCGGTGCGGGGTGGCAAGGGCGCGCGCCAGCGTTACTCGATCCCCCGCATCCCGCTTGCGCAAGCCTGTCATAGCTGGCGCGCCGACAGTGCGGCGACAGACGGAGCGGTGAGGACAGACAATGGGGAGCCCGCGCATTTGTGGCCGGGGTTCAATTAACGGGACGGCCTGTCGCTCGCCTCGCAAAGGAGCCAGCGCATCCCTTCCCGCCGTTTAATTTCTATCAAAGCCGTGTACAAACACTGACCGTGGGGCTGCCCTCCGCTGTGCACGGCCTCCCTTCGCCCATGCACCAAATGCTCGCTCTTTTTTTTGCTGTTGCCTAAGTCCGCACAGCAGCTCCCCTCTCTCTCTCTCTGTCCCGTCAAGTGGAGACCATAGCTGAGTTTAGCCTCTAGGATAAGTGAGTCACAGCCCCTGGGGCCTATATATATTAGAGGCGCCTGCTCTGCCCTGCTCGTTCGTCAACTGGGGAGGCGCGCGCTTGGTAACATTTATTGGCCCAGAGCCTCATGATTTACTTAATTCGGCCGCTGGGCAGTTGCTCTCACAACTGGGCACTGTCTCCCATGGGAAAAGCACCCAGTAATTCTCTCTAATGAAGAAAGGCACGGCCCAACAGTTCTGGAGCCCCAAAGCTTTTCTCAGGCCCGTGTAGTCCCAAAACAGGGCTGCCACCTTTTTTTAAATTTACCAGAGCAGCAGGACCTGGAAAACAAACTTAGAAGGGTGATAGGCCATGGCAGGGAGGCTGTGATTGCAGCTGTGATCTTGCGGAGGGCAGGGAAGGCACCCATGAGAGGTCTTGGTGGTGGCGTAACCTAAATGCTGTTAGCAGGTCGTGTGTGTAACGGTAAAGTGTGGATAGGCTGAATGCCCTCTTGAGGGGCTCTATAGAGCTGCCTCTGGTGGAGGCCTTTCCACCAGCAGTGGCATGAGAGAGCAGTTGCAGAGCCTCACCTTTACCTTTTACATGATACTTTAGTGCCTGTTATTGAATAACTTGTGCCACCACGCCTCGTGTTCCAGCAGGAATACACACGCCACTCCTGGGTGCCACGGTGGGGAAATGTTAAAGTACCTCATCTGGTATACAGGAGGGCATGGGTTCGATCCCGACCCCGATGCCTATATATTTTGAGTTTGCACGTCGCTCTCCCTGTGTTCGCGTGGATTTTTCTCCGGGTGCTCCGGTTTTTCCCTCCACATTTAGAATCAGCGTGCGTTTTGAGTATTTGGCTGCTATACAATTTCCGCACGATGAGCCACTTCGTTGAGCTATCATTTGTGGCCAGGTCGCTTCTGAAAGAGAGCTATATAGCTTAGTGGGCCTTACCCGGTAAAATGAAAAAAAAAAGTTTAGGAATGGACTCCTGCCCAGGGGACAGTCCCAACAATGGAGAAAAAGAGCAGTGACAAGCATTTATTCTATTCATCTTGGCCGAATGCAGACACCATTTTCACAGCTACTGCGTCTGCTGAGGTTTTACCTTCTTAGCACAGGTTTTGGGCGGCGGGAGCAGTGGCGAAAGTATTGGGCATCAGTTATTCTTCTGTGGGTCGTTTGCAACAAGAGCCAGATGGAATCAGGTTGGCAGACTTCACTTCTCATCTGATGTGAAAGCTGCGGCGTCGGCGTTGTAAACGCATCCATCGTGCGACATCCACGTCTCCTCCCTTGACGTCGTAAATCTTCCCTCGGAAAATGTCCCGAAGCAGAAGAGTCGTGCTGGATGCAGACGGTCAGCATTTGCGACTGCGATTTGTAACCTGGCTACTTGCCCGTGTAGTATCGATATTTCAACGTTCACGTGCCGTTTTGTTGAGGGACTACTGCTGTGTGGTGTTATCTCGGTGTGGTCTGGGACTCTCTTGTTGTTTTTGCTGATTTGGCCTAGATTGATAAATCGGACTTATATAAATAATGAAAGCGTGTACTAGTTATCTATATTCGGTGACTCGCTTACCATTCTCTCTATTTTAGCACTTCTATCCGTTTTGTTGTTGTTGTTGTATCGATTTGCTGTTGTAACTTTCTGACCCCCGTGGCCCGCACTGGACATCTGTGAAGAAAGAGCTCGTCGGATTCCTCCTCCTGCTGCAGCCTAAATAAAGTTAAAGATACAAGAAAAGTGGCTACATCATGAGACCTCCTTTGCCAGTATTAAATTATGATAATAGGGTTTTCCCCTTTCTGGCAATAAAACAGTTGTGTTAAGATGTTCAAAGACCAAACTGAAACCTTTGCAAGGAATCGTGTCTGCATTAACCACATATACTTGTGGTGAAAATGCAAACAAAAAAAACATGCTCTGACAGTGTGTGCATTGTCTTTGAAACTGATTGGTCCACACCAGAGACAGCTTTCTTTAGAGCCGAGTCTCAAACAGTGTTAGACCAGAGGGCGCTAAAAAGGCGAACGGCATTCTCTGGCCTAACACTGTTTGAAACTAGGCTCTAAAGAAAGCTGTCTCTGGTGGTGTGAACCAATCAGTTTCAAAGACAATGTATATACTCTCAGAGCATGTTTTTTTTTTGCATGTTCACCACAAATATATGTGGTTAATGCGGACACGATTCCTTGCAAAGGTTTCAGTTTGGTGTTTGAACATCTTAACACACCTGTTTAATTGCCAGAAAAAGGGAAAACCCTATTATCATACAAGGAAAGTGACTCGGTCTTCTGTGTCCGAGAATTAAAATCGGCGACCTCATCCCTCAAATTGCAGAAGTGGTCCGTGGGGTATCGCACAAGCCCACGTGGGGTCACCAAGACGTCGAGAGAGAAAGATGATACTGCAATCTGTAAGCGGCCAGAGCTGTTTTCCGTTTCTAATTCTAATGTCTGGCCGCCAGTGCATGCAACAGGTCACTCTTAATTACAGGTCTCATGCGCAAAAAGGATAATCGTTCTCTACCAGCAATCTCCTCCGTGTAAACGAATTCGGGTGACGTAAAAGTCGCAGGGACTGCGCCCGCTGAGCGTTTTTTTGTTGACGCGTGGACGCACGCTGCTTGCTGTCGGCACGCGCTGCCGGCGGCACGAATCGGAAAAATGCGTAACGTGGATGGAGAAAACGTGGAACGGGAACACCGAAGGGGCGTTCTCGCGGCGGCACTGAGCGACGACGGGGGGAGGATGAGGAGGGAGCACTTGGAGCAAAGAAACCAACGCCAAATCTTAAGATGAAATCACGACTGTTAAATGTGGGTTTTGTGGGGCTTGGGTAGGGCACATCACTGGAAGGGATGATGGCCGATGGACGGGACTGGTGATGGGATTGCATCCAAGGGAGATAATGCCCCCAAGAGGACCACTACCTTGGAGATGGAGTAATGAGACACCGTTATTTTGGATTTGGGGTTAGACAGAGGTAAGAGTATGGATTACTCGCATAAGATAGAGCATTTAACATCCATTTTACAACAGATGGTGCTTTTGTTGTTGTTCTTGTTGTAATAATAGTTGCAGAAGTTTCTGGACGGCCGTGGGATTTGAACAGTCAAATCTCGGTGGGCAATGACTCAGCAGAGCGAGCTTGCAGGCATTCTTTTACCGCCTTGCCTTTAATGTGCGTCTATAAAACATGATTGATGAGTGAAGTGGCCGGGTAGCTCAGAGGTCTCGTAATGTGCGCATCGAAGGACTGAGCCAGCCACCGGTCAAATCCACTCGTGATTAAGCCGAGTTCTCAAACTTAGCGGTACATTTGTCGCTGCCAGGCCAAGTCACCAACGATTGCACACACGCAAAAAAAATCTATTGCAGCCCTTTGTCCACTGCTGGATGAATGCCTCTCCATGCCACGTCGGTCGTGGGGGTTGTTGTACCGTACTTCACCGAGTTGGTCAGTGCAGGTTGGTAAGGCCTATAATCAGAAAATCTGTCGATACATGATTCTGTCTATGTATTGCTCTCATGGTGGTAGTGCAGTGGTTAGCGGCCCGGGTTCGATTCCCACTCGTGACCAATTTACAGTGGCGAACATTTGTACCAGTCCTGGGCATCCTCTCGGTCGACTCAGCCTGAAATGAGTACCCCGTGTTGTGAGCGCAAACGTTAGCACTGGGTGAGACAAAGGCAGATGGGGCACGGTGTTTGGCCACCCAACACCCCCTCTTGTGCCGTGCCGGCCTTCATAGGTCGCTGCTGCTCGCGAACGGCACTTGCCCCAGCAGTTTTCCGAAGGCTTTACACGGCGGTGGGCGTGGGTAGGCGGGGGGGCTGACCTCCGTCTTTGTTTTTTTTTTGTCCCCAGGGCCGGCGGTGCCGTCGACGAAGCGGCGGTGGTGGTCACGGCCGCGGGGCAGACGCGTGCGGGCCCGGATTGCCTGGCGAGGGCCCCCCGGCGCGAGGGCCCAGCGGGCGGGGCCCTGGAGAGGCGCGTGGACGAGCTGGAGAAGGTGAGTGGGGACCCCCCCCCCCCCCCCCACCCCCGTCGCTCACTCGTAAAACGATGAAACTTTTTTTATTTTACCAGGTAAGGTCCCTCTGAACTGTATCGTAGTAGTTTTCTTTTTTCAGAAGCGACCTGGCTTTCACGAGTGGCAGCTCAATGGAGCGGCTCATCGTCGTGTGGAACTTTACAGCGGCCAAATCACTCTTAAGCGCGTGACGTTGGTCCTAAATGCGGAGGGGAAAAACCGGAGGACCCGGAGAAAAATCCACGTGACCATGGGGAGAGAGAGAGAGAGAGAGAGACACGCGGTCTCCAAATATATAGGCGTCAGGGTCGGGATCGAACCCACGACCTCCTGTTTATCAGGCGAGGTTGTTGACATCTCACCACCCTGCCGCCCGGCATCTCTCACTCTCTTGCTCTCTCGCGCCCTCTTTGCTTGCCACCCCTCAACCCTCTCTCCGCTATCTCACCGTCGCAGTTTTTGACCGATTCGGATTTGAATGTGGAGAGAGGAACACAAGGGGCGTTCCATGTGAAATTACCAATGCGTCTTCATCATGATTGTCGTCATCAGCACATCATCATCACCATTATCATCATTATCACCACTGCTGCCATCACCACTACCACTATCACCATCATCATAATAATCAATACTACCACCACTCATCGTCATTACCATCATCATCAAAGCATAATTGTATGCCTTGAAATGCCAGAATGCCAGGTGTGTGCATATTGTTGAATGTTGATACCTAGCTCCGTGAGTCATGAGTCATTTGTTTTGCATTCATTAAAGCCCCCTTCAAGTTTAGTAAATCGACGCAGCACTAAATCACATCACCTGCTGATCTCAGTATTAACCGGACACGTGCTCTAGTGAAAGGAAAAAAAAATCTACGCCTAAGCATCGGCAAACATTTGTTTTCCAATGCGCGCGCTTGCACAGCGTGTAAATTGAGCCATCAAAAATGTTCACTCGGCAAGGGATACGGAGAGGAAAAATAAATTTGCACGCATTACGAGTGCTGACAGCTGATACGCATTTTACTTTGGTGGGGGGGGGGCAGGGAAATAGGGTTCCTGTTAAATGGGACTCGTAATGGGCCTGTGTTGAGCAGTGTAGTAGAGTGACCCCGGCAGTGTTTGCTGGGTAATGCTCGTGTGCTCCCAGAGATTAGGTGCTCGATCCCCCCACGTCATGATGCGTGCAGGTGCTGGGCCCTCGTGTGTGGATGCTGTTTCGGCTTAGCGCGTAGGAGAGAAGCAAGAGGTCCCGTTACAGCTCTTTATTGGAAACCACGGCGTTTAGGAGAAAGAGGTGTGAATCCGTTAATTGACATATGCAACGCGACGCTCGGGGGTGGGGGGGGGGGGGGTGCGTGGACTTGTTGCGGTATTTGATTTGGTGTTGGCGTCTTCTGGTCCAACGCCAGTGGAGACTAGGCTCTAAGAAAAGCCGTCTCGGGTGTGGACCAATCAAATTCCAGGACAGTGCATATTATTATCAGAGTTGTCTCTTTTGTTTGCATTTTTACTGCTTGTGTTGTGGTTATTGCAAACATGATGCCTTGAATAAAGGTGTCAGTTTTTGTGCCAGTTAAAAGGGTAAAACCTATTACTATAGGGATTTTCACTTACATTTTTTTTTTACAAATATTCCAAAGCAATTATATTTGCAGTATGACAATTGTCCCTATATAGCGGAGTTCATGGGATATTGTATCAGCGGCGATGAGGTCCCTTAAACATAACTCATAAATATTTGTATTTTTTATTTCACTTCTACAGGCCGTTTGCTAACGTGGGGTGATACAGTAGTGCCTTGCGAGCGTTCCGATTGGACGCTTCTTCTCCTGACATGACATCGATCATCCAATTGGCACACATTTGGGAAAAAAATTGACAAAACAAGTGTGTGTATGTGGATTTATATATAGGTTATATATTTTAGAAGTACATTTGCAATGTGTATGCATTTCGGCATTACTGATAATATAATCGGTCATGTAGGGTTAATGGGCATAGGCTCAGACTTGTCTGTGAGGAATGGTGCAGATTCAATCACATTTGGGTCACTGATAAATACATAGGGTGCAGTGGGATTTAAAGCAAAACACTACGATAAAATCTCTGTTTTTCATTATGTATGTTAGCTTTTTATTAAACTTTATTCTCTTGATAGTACTCCATCTCATTCTCTCTAGAAATAACAAAACAGCAACATTCAATTTTAAATAGCAGCACACATGGCCAACTCACACGTAATGATTTGATTTTGAACCGAATGTAATGTCTGTTTGGGTAAGCGCCGTAGGAGAGAACCCATATCACGGTCTGAAGGTCATGGGTTCAGAGTTCACTCAGAGGTCAAGGAAACCCATCATCCCTCTGGGGTTGATAAAATATCCAACAGTCTACTTTTGGTGCATGTGACAAATAGAAAAACTAACGTCATGTATTTTCAGAATTTTCAGATAAATAAAAAAAATCCTGTCCTTTATCAATCCTTCAGAGTATTAAACCACCCCCTCCCACCCCCAAATCTCGCAGATCATGGGATCTGTTTGACCTCACTTCCATGCTGCTCAATGTGGTTGGTAAAGCAGGGTAGGCCAGGAATCACACTCAGGTAGCTCGGTTCGTAGCGCAGTGGTGAGACCCACTGTGGCACAAGCTTCCCCATTAAATAACCATTCATATTCAAACAAAGGTCTCAATGGGATTTTTACCTCGTTATGAGTAACGGTCAGCTGTCGGTCTATTTAATATTCAGCAAAACGTAAATCATTGAAAGCTGTAAGTGCAGTGATTTGGAGTTTGGGTGGTGGCTTTGTGCTCACCCTTTGCAGGGTCAGGGTGAAGTTTATCTTTCATCAAGCGAACTTGGCTGGAATATTATGTTCATTGCTGGCATATTATCTTCAATGCCAGCCCGGAGGCGTGGGTAAAAACGCCACATTCTGGTTCAGACATCACTCGCTGCTGACATTAGCCGTGGCTGGGATTCAAATTCCGGTTGCCACGTTCATAGGGCAGTGTGCTATGCACGGTGCAGTGTGGTAACCACATACATCACATTGCCTGCTTTTAATCCAAAGGTTCTCGATTACATTGCCTGCAATTCAAGCAAACGATAACATTGGCAATATTTCATAATAAAATAACAGTAAATAGATCATATTAGTCCCACTGAGTATGTTTATTTACACTGCCGACCTCTGTGATTTCGGGTTTTTGCCAAAAGAAACTCCCCGGCACTTGGGGCGAAACATCGGACTTCTCGCCGAAGGACACGCGCCCCACCCCGAAACGAACACGGGTGCCATTTGCATTGAGCCATGGAAACCTCTCGACGCACTCAGCCAATGGAATTAATTATAAAATAAAAGATGAACATGGCTACAAAGGAGCTTTGATAAGTAAAGTTCAAAGGGAGTAACATTATTGCCCCATATGCGTTTGTGTGGTTGTTTTCAGCAGCCAATTAGTGGGTGGATGAGCTGCGCTTAACCCCCCACGTGAACACCCATCTGTCCCAGCCACTCGGCGGACAAAGGACTTTTAGCGTAATGAGCGTCTGACGGAGGAGCCGACGCGTTCGCAACACTCCGGGCTCGTGTCCAGCGTTTGCGTCACGTGGGACGATCGGAAAGTCCGTTGTCAGACATGAACGGACGGAGCTATAACGAAGGGCAGATGCCCGGTTAAAAGTGTGCGTCACTGTTTCCTAAAGGAGAGCAACCTGAGCAAATCTTCAGACGTCTGGAGAAATGCCACGCTCGCCACACACCTGGCACCTTTTGCATGCCGCGCTAAAATCATCACGCGTGGCGAAGGCCCTTAGGTGGCAAGGAAGCGATGTGTTGCTGCGAGCTAGCATTTTTTGAGAGCAGGAGAGAGCGTTCTTCCGGGTGGCAATTAAAGTCTCGAAACAACAGTTAAGCAATCTTGATTTGAAGCTTTCGTGACTGCAGGAATCCATACTCTTTGGCTCTTTCGGTAAAGTCACGTAGTAGGTAGAAAAATAATAGAGGATTGCTTGTGTTGCGATCGAAACGTCGTGATCTATTATTGTTCTACCGACGTGACTTTACTAACAGTGGAGCAAGTGTATTCCACTTTTAAAGAGGACTTTCGTTGAGAAAAGAACGCCTTTCGTCAAGATCACGCTTTTGCCGTCACTGCTCGACGACAGATCCTTGAAGCTCCCTTTGCATCTGTGCGTGGGCGAAAGTGATCCCTTCACACGAGCGCCAGGACCCCCGTTTCTCGTGGTGGGTGTCTCGCCGCTTGTTGTAACCAGTTGAAGCTTCATCGCAAAACACGCTTTGCATGCTGGGCGTACACGGGCATGTGAACACGACAAGTGTTGCGTTAAACTTCCAGCAGATAAGGGGGATGGGGGCGAGGGGGATCAGAGCACTATCGCCGCACGTTTTAAAAATGTTCTACAAAAAATAATAACAGCCGTGTAATTTGAAAATACAAGGGGAAATACGCGCCTGGCTGGTAATTTTTGTTGTTATGTGTTTGTGCAAATGGTTTTTTTCTGCAAGCACAACATGTACCACTACTACTACTATACGCGGTGGGAAACAGGGCATTGATGTGTGATTAGTTGAAGTTTGCTGCGTAACATTGCGATGGTGTCGTGTCCCCGCGATCGGCCGACGCGTGCTCGTCCCGATCGCCCGGTCATGTCGCCGCTCACTCAGGGATGGCGATGCGGATGAGCAGCCGGGTCGTTTTGCCGCCCGTTGCAGAAATTCGAGGTTCGAGCCCAGCGGCCGCCCCGGTTAATACCGCGTGTGTGTTTTGCCGAAAACGTGGGCCATCTTCGATAAAGAGCAGGGCCACGTGTGCTGCCGTCACATCTTTTTGCCTTCTTCAAATTTTGAAAGATGACTTGCAAATGTCTTAATTGGGTAAAAGTCACACGGCAGCAGGACTATACTCTTCTGTGAGACAAAGCAACGTTGTGTGGCGATAGCCTTGGGCTATAAGAATGGAACAAATGTCACGTGCATTTTGTTGGTTTTCACCATGGAGCAGATGACCCAGTCATTTATTGTCGCTGGTTAGTGTTTGGTTAAAATGAGCACGAGGAAAATAGCAGCAGTGGGAAAAAAACCGAGTACCTTACCCTTTTTTTGAGTCAAGTATTCTCTTTGTGTGGTACCGGGGGACAGAATGTTCGAGCTACCACAATTGATATTCAGACAGATGCCAAAGGAAGTGTTTGTTGATCATAGCATTTGTTACGGGTTACAAAGCGAGATTTTGTACGCGGGGCATCGTTGCGGTCGGGCAGGGAAGGCCTTGCGGCTCATTTAACTCGCGCGGTAATTCGGCCTTAATTGCTCATCGTTACTACGAAACAATATTTTCTCATTGACATTTTGAGATGCGCAGTTAAATAAAAACCTGTTCTTTCATTCAAAGCCAAGGCCGAGCGTCTCGCCACTCAAACAAGCACGGGGCTGGATTCGTCCCACATTGGCCTGTCTCGGCCAATGATATGAATTCCACATTCTTATGGCAGGGGCCATTCTTCCATAGCCCTGCCATTCTCCCATCGGACAATCATTGTCGACTTAGAAAAACGCTACCCATTTTATTGATGCTGGAGGGCTAAAAGTTCTGATTTGACCCCCCCCCCCCCCGACCTTCTGACTGTAGGTTGGCAGCTCTTACCAGAGGGCTACTTTAATGTTAGCCATGGCCAGCACAAAGACAAAGATTCCCCGTGTAGCCTTAATGGATTGTTGGGGCAAGTGCTGTTAGCGAGCACCTATGAAGGCCAGCACTTTGGCCCACGAGGGGGGTGGGTGGCCAGCACCACGCCCGGGCCGCCTTTGTCTCTCCCAAGTGGCGATATTTACACACTGCACCAGGTACTCAGGACCGATTCAGATAATCAGTCACTGGTGTTGGCCGTGAGCGGGAATCGAACTCGGGTCGCCGGGTTCGTAGCACAGCGCGCTAACCGTTACACCACCGCTGCCCACGCACGCACACGCGTGCACACTCACATGTGCACGCACACACGGGCAGATACATTCTCAGTGTGCTTTGCGGGCCCAACGCATTAACCCTCATCATTGTTATTATAAAAACAAATTCTGCAACACACATAAAAACAAAAAAACCTAGCGAATAAACCAAATGACCCAGGCGGAACAATGAATGCAATTAAACATTGACACCGTCAGCAAGAATGGGTTGAGCTGACGTTTAGCTCAGCTGAGCCCAGCACTGGGAGCGCTGTAATTTTTTTCCTTCCTCCACCTCCCCGTGATTTCACCAAGAGCAACCTCTGAGCCCCCCCCCCCCCGTCACCCCCCACCGGTGTGGAAATGCTCAAGGGCTAAGCGTCTCATTTCTCGTTTCATCCTGACCGAGCGGAATTAGATCTCTGCGCTCGAGCGATCGGCCGGAGAGGTCACAGCTAGGTTGATGCACAAATCACAACCCCGCAGCGTGCGGGTGCCGCTTGTGGCGGCGATTACGCACACCGATAAATCCGGGCAAACTTGGAGGTCGGTGTTTTGGTGGGTCGCACTGAGATCGTGCGCACGAGACTCTTTTCATCCACCCATTAGCTGTTGCCGGCAACGAAGTGGCATCTGTCGTCGGTGACGGTTATGCAGGGAGGGTTTCTGGCCTCTTCGTCAATCGGTTGGCCTGCCTGTTAATAGGTTGGCATGTCCGTAATTGTTTTGAGTGTTATTCACTCGTATGCGCGAGCGTTTTTGATGTCGGAGGTAACCGGAGGTATCTGGGCCAGTTAGTCAGGGGTCACGTCAGCTCGCTTAACATCATGCATGATATGATCTAATGCCCTGTAATGTAAATGCAGATTTAGATCTCTCTGAGAGAGAGCCCAAGGCTGTTGTGAATATCGTCCGAAGCCGGGAAACGCTACCCTACTGCGCATCATTAAAATACAACGCCGGGGTTGATAATCACAATGGAAATTAATTATGTTTGGTTTTTATTTGTCGTTGCGGCCTGTCAAATGAGCAGCGCTGGGGCGAGTTGCACGGTGAGAACAAAAGCACATCGCACGGAGCCGTGGTCAATCCCCCGGCTGGACGAAAGCTTTCCCCCCTCCCCATGCTGTCGCCACCACCTCTCAACTATCACGCGATGCAAATGACTCGCCTATTGCCTGCGCACACGTCGATTTCATTGCTCCACCTTCCCTCTGCGGACGTCCTCTCGGAGGAATGAGGTAACGACACTCTGTTATTGGGGCAAGGCGGTTGACACAGTGGTGAGCAACACTGTGCGATGAACCCGGTGACGTGATTATAAAAAATACTATTTCGCTTGTTTACCCAGGAAACCCTCACTGAGCCTCAAGGAGCGTCCTGCCAAGCGTTCACAGTCGGGTGTTATGTTGCTATGTGTAATCCCGATTGAGTGGTAATTTTTCAGAATGTAATGTTAGGCTATGACGAGTCACATTGTATGGGGGGTGGGGAGGGTGATTTGGCTATGGGAGGAAACCGGAGAACCTGGAGCGAACCAATGCAGAACACGGGGAGAACATACAAACTCCACACAGATAGGCAATCGAGTCGAGAATTGAACCCATGCCCTTCTTGCTGCGAGCCTCACGTTTAGCACTGTGCCACCCTACCACCCATGAGTTCAATTCTTTGCCACAGCTAACATCAGTGGGAAATTATATCTGAACCATTAGTACTGACCAGCATGGTGAAGTATGCATTAATCTCCATGACTGATATGATATGTGGGGAGGCATTTATTCAAGTAGATTGTCAACAGGATGAAAATTCGCATTTTATTAAACCATTATTATCACCCAATTTTCAATGTATAATCATATTATCATTACTTACCATGACCTGGTGGATGAATGTTTGTAATCAGTCGTCAGTGACTGATTAAATATCTAAAGTCATCCTCCTTAACAATGACCGCGGGAAGTGCCTATGTGGCACTCAGCATTCGTCATTCACAGGCGCTGCGTAGCCACGAACTTGTGTGTGTGTGTGTGCGCGCGCTCGCTCGCGCGAGATCGATTCCCCTTGTCCGTATAATATGCGTGCCGCGCGATGATTTACGCTCGCGCCGTTTACGGGACGTGGCTCCTGGACCCCCTCCGCGACTCCGTGAGCCACCTCTGGGCACATCCGTTCTGCCGTTGACCCCAAAGCCCCCCGCGCGCTGTTCTCGTTCACACGTCGGTCCGTCCACACGAGGCGTCCCTTCATCCCGTCGTCGATCAGTCGCGAGCGTCTCATTCCATCCGCACGCATCATCTCTCGCCGTCATCACCGTTCCGTCCCGACTCTGTCCGTGTCAGCTGCTGCATTGCCGGCCGCGCCTGTTTTACCGTGTCTCTTTAAGTGGCGGCTGGGTGACCGCCCCAGGTTTTGCTGATGACACAGCCATTGTATAACGTCCAATGAGAATGAACTACTTGGAAACGTGTTCAACTAACTATTAACCGACATTTTTTTTTATTTTACCAGATAAGGCCCACTGAGCGATACAGCTTTTTTTTTCAGAAGTGACCTAACGATCTCAAATGATAGTTACAAGTATGTCATAAAAAAGGTCGCCATGTTCGGCTCAGGGAGAGAGATGGTAATGCCTTGGGGAGGCCTTCAACCAGCAGTGGATTTTAAATTTCGATTTAAAGCTTTCGTGACTGCAATGATTCATCTTCTTTGGTTCTTTCGGGAAAAGTTACGTAGAATGAGAATAAAATAATAAATTGATAAAATAAAATAACACAATAATATTCTCACGACGTTTCGGCTGTCCTACCAGACAGTCTCGTCCCTTCACTTGATGAAGGCCGCTTGTGTTGTGGCCGAAACGTCGTGAGAATATTATTGTGTTATTTTATTTTATCTATCAGCAGTGGATTGATCATGGCTGATGATGATGATGGTGGTGGCGGCATGCGAGTGTCTCCCTTCTCATCTCAGCATGGCCCGGTGCTCACCCTCCATTGGGGAGCGTAAACCAATGCCGGAAATTTCCCATTCCATTGGCAGAAATGTTGTGCTGATATTAGTGGTCATCCATTCCTCCCCCTCCTCTCAGCTTTCTATCCTGTCTCTTCCCTGTGTCTTTCCATCTGTCTGTCCTTTTTCATTTATTTGTCTATACATCCTGAATTTAATCTCACACCTGTGTGTGTGTGTGTAAACATTCAAAATCTGCCTTAGGAACGTGGAATTTCCACTGCTCGCTCGGGTGGGCGGCAAATGGAGACGTGCACCGTACCCCCCTCCCTCTCCCCACCCGCGCTCGTCAGGCCAGGGAGCCCCAGCGTGAGCAGCAGCTGCCTCCAGCGGACCGCGCTCAGAAGGGGCAGCGTTGTCTCCGTGTGCGTGTGGTGCGTGGGTGCCTAGGAGCTGGCGCGGGAGCGGTACGAGAAGCAGCAGCTCGGGCAGCGGCTGGAGGACAACGAGGACGTCGTGCGCAAGCTTCACGCCGAGATTGATCTTCTCAACCGGGTGAGGAAGGGGGCCACCCCGGCTGCGCGCCCCCCCAAGGCCAAGGCCCCCCCCCCCCCCCCCCCCCCCCCCCCCCCCGCGGTTCTTCACGGGCGTGAAAAGATCGGCTCGCCGTCGGGCACGAGAAGGAACCCGCGGCTTCAAGGGCTCTCCGAGACCTCCGGCCTTCACGCCAACGGCTGTTTATTTATTTTTTACAATTGATGTTAAGTGTCCGGGTCACGCGAGTGCCGCGGTGCCTCGACTGACGTTTGTGATGGGTTCCCCGCACGGCTGTCACCCCCCCTACCCCCCCCCCCCACGAGGCTCTGCCCGCCAGAGCCGCCCCCCCTCCCACCCCCCCAGCCTCCTCAGCCTCAGCTGCAACAAGCGGTGGTCGTGAGCGACGGATCAGGCGTACCGCCGGGGGAATCGGTAGCGGTGCTGCGGTTTGGGTCCTTTTATTTGTTTGTTAAATACAATCTTGTGGCCTGGATGGTTATTGGAAAATCGCGATTTGCAACAAAACCGACCGATTCTCATTCATTTATTCCCTGGATTCAATCGCAGTTGGTTAGGTGATCCGATCCGGCCTGATTTTCATTGGAGTTGATTTTAACTGTGGTATTTAAGGAGGTTTTAAAACGGTATTTAGTTTGCTCATGGATTTTCAATTGCACTCTGAATCCATTTTTAATTCTGAATATTAAAGTATCTTAATCTACAATGTATTATTAAACATAACTAAAGCACATGGTGTAACATAAGCATATGAAATCAGTAAACATTACTAAATATAGTTTTTCTTCAAGTGCTGTGCTATAAGAGACTAGTGAATGACTGGTGGATGACTGGTGGATGACTAATGCGAACTGCATTTCCATGCTGTTCTCATTATGCTCGGAAATAGCACGGGATGGATTAATTCGCAAGATACCAAGTACCGGATTATGCGCGATTGGAATCGATTGTGTGAGACCCAATTACAGTAACGTGTGATCTTTGCGAGTGATGCGTAAAGTGTACAGTGGGGTGAGTTAGAGGGGAGGAAATCGCAAAGAAACGACGAAATGAGACGGTGAAAAATTTTACGAAGATAATCGGTTGCTGATTCGGCTCGAGATCTCGAATCGTAAAAAAATCATCACGAAGGGGGTGAGTGTGTTGTTACATCTTACAGTCATTTTTTTAACTCAATATTCAAACAAATTTGGGTTGCAATGTTTAAAGTTACGGTTTACTATATCTCTATTGACTGCGATTGCTATTTATTTCCCACCTATTTACAATTTACTTACCATGTTAATATTTGGATGTTCCTTTGAAACATTTAGTGTGATCAAATACAATATTGTGTATTACTTGATGCCACCAAATGCATCTCGTAAGGTTTGAGCCGTTTCTCTGTACGAAAAACCAATATAATTTTTTTTATGTATAATTGATCGGACATAATCTGATGCAACTATTTTGTTCACAATCCGATTTTCATTTGGATAATTTCCGATTGTAACAACGTCACAGCTGATCTCCAGATTGGGTCAGATAACCTCACAATTTCTGATTATGACCTGATCTGACGGACACCCCTCATAATCAAACTGTCAAAGATAAGTACGGATCATCACTTATGATCAAGTCAGCGGCGTAGTTATTGAGATGCCAGCGGCGGCAGCGGCAAGCAGTGGCAGCCAATGCTTATAGATCATGATGCAAAGCATACGATCACTGCAGAGTGTTGTTGTTGTTTCCAAGGTTATGTCAACCTCATTGTTAAACAGTCAACAAAAGACAAAGTGTGTGTCCTCTGCTCAATCGAGTGACTGGCTGGCTCTCATATCAGCGCCCATGGCCCTGAGCCAGACGAGTAAATTCTAATATCCACGGAAGGGTCCATTCTACCCATGGGGATGGCCTTTTGTTGGCTTACCCACCAAGTGTTGCAGATTTTACCCACCGTGTGGACAGAGTCATGGACCTGAGGGGGATAATGCCACTTAAGTGGAAATAATTTGATTAATAATTTCGCGTTTGCCCCTTTGTACGGCATCTTGAAATACAAGGGGAAAACGTATGTCAGAATATGAATATTTACTTATACTGGAGGAATCTGATGAGCTATAAAGGTATTTTTCACATAAGTCCCGTATTTTTCACATATGTCCCTTATTTCACAGATGTCCAGTAATGTATGTTGAACTTCCTTTGCACCGTACGTAGCCAACCGTGCTAATCGGAGGTGCGGGGGAAGGACAACAAACTAAACACAAAATTTCACTTGTAGAGAAATGAGTTTTCAATCTAGATTTAAAAGTGTATGCTTCAGTGGCTTCCTAATAAAATAGTGGCTACATGCTGAATACATTTCAAAGAGGGGCATTTATCTGCATATGCCCTTGCTTGCAGCTCTGTCTGTCACAGCACCCTTCACTGCCTGCCACGAGGTTATGACTTTCCACCACGGAATGCCCTTTCATCCACCTCCAAATCGACACGGGGACTTCTCTCCTTTTGAAAAGCTGTTTCTCGAACGGATGCGTCGCTCGCTTATCACTGATGCCGTCGTGTTTTTCGCTCGGTTCGTCAGGATCTAGACGACCTGGAGGACGAAAACGAGCAGCTGAAGGAAGAGAACAAGACTCTGCTGCGTGTGGTGGGCCAGCTGACTAAGTGAGGTGTGGCAGCAGCATCGCGGTGGCGGGGAGGGGGTGGTGGGCGCGCAGAAGCTCTCCTGCACAGCTGAGGCCGTCCTGCGAAAATCACCGACCTCCTGCAAAAACTAGCCTTTGTAGCGAGACGAGAATCGCCCGTCCCTTTGTGCGTTGTTGTCCCCCGTTCAGCTGCCGATCTAAAAGTAGTTTGGGGATTAAAAAAAAATAAAAGTTTTTGTTTTCTTCCCCTTTTGTTTGTCACCCACTGGACCGGCGACACCGATGCCGGCGACGGCCAGTTGTGGTTCCCGCATTTAGCCAGGCCAGGGGGGGACGTCGCGGGAAGACGGCGTGATGTGCGCCGCTTCCTGAACCAGCCAGCGGTTTGGGGGAAATAAAATAAATGAATCTATCAATGTGGGGGGTGAGGCGCGAGGCGAATTTCAGGAGTGGTGGGGGGGGAGAGGTCTGTTGCGGGGTGGTTGCTTTGGGAAGCTAGAATATCAATTTTGCACATTGCCCATCGCCCCTTTCATGTCAGCCGACTGGGGATTCATATCGGGGGGGGGGGGGTGGTCTTTTGTAAGGAAAAGGCGGTGGTGGGGGAGTGCAACTCCTGAGAATAGCCTGAACGGTGTTCCTCCAAGGGGGGATGGCGGCGCTGTGAAGAACGCTTGCGCACACGAGGACAGTGTCAACCTCTTTCTCACCTCGGCTGTCGATCGGACGTGGCAAGGGCGCGGAGACCCTGGGAGTCGACGGAGAGTCCCTGAACCACGGAGGATGCGAGAAAGCGGAGACCGGGGTGGGTGGGGGGGTGGACTGTTGGAGAGTTACACACGTGTTTGCTTGATTTTTCCAGCCACGCTGGCACAGGTGCGCGGGCGTGGATGTGTTTGTTGACGTCGCCGTCGAGGACGTCTGAGCTGTGGAATTTCGTTGCAAAAAGTTTTCAGCGAAAAGATAAACCCCCCCCCCCCCCTACGAATTGCAGTGACGTGAGCGACTTTTTAGCATGCTGAAGTGCCTTGTCAACTATTTGACACTTGTCAGAAATGCTGTACAATCATCCGCGCGAGTGTTTTCCGCTTTGTTGGCAGAGCGATCGATGAGCCCACTCTCGCCAGTTTAACGTCGCAAACAGCGCACGCTTTGAAGGCCTCTTTGTTCGTCGCGCACTTTCACGGAGCGCTTTCGAGCACCGTGCATGCTTTCTTCGGTTTATTTCCCAGCGTCATTATCACTTTGAGCATATCTCTTGAACGGCGTGTTGAGGTTGGATTTCGACTGGCTGTTGTGCGCATACTGTATACGTGGGTCGACGCACGCATGGATGCCACCATCTTTGAACACTGGCCACTGTCATGGCGGATTACAGTACGGTTGCAACCCGTCCTGGTTTTCCCAGGATCGTCCTCTTATTGAGGTGGCTTTTAGCTCTATCCCGGGAATCTATAAAGCTTTCCCGTAACATCAAAAGTCGCAGTTTTTGTCAGTTACATGACGAGAACAACACACTTCGTATATTGGTTTTGCATGTATTTCTCCTCTGTTCTGGTATTGCACGCTGTTATTGTTTTTCCCGTGATATGTCCCGGTTTTTTTTAATGTATACCTTTGAGAGGTGGCAAGCAGCTAACCCAAAGTCACAGCATCTCGCATTGAGCGATCACGATTTTGCCCACTCTTAATTCACAACTCACGAAGTGAGGTTTCGCAAATTACCTCATAGGCTCTTGTGCGTGTGTGTGTGCGCGCACTACTAACCCGACCGCCAGAGTTCGATTCCCGCTCACGGCCAACACCAGTGACGAATATCTGAACCGGTCATGGGCCTTTCTTAGGTCGACTCAACCTTAAATGAATACCTGGTGTGGTGTATAGTAAACATTGGCACTGGGGAGACAAAGGCGGCCGGGCGTGGTGTTGGTCACCCACCCCCCTCGTGTGCCGTTCCGGCCTTCATAGCTGGTCGCGAACAGCACTTGCCCCAAAAGTCTGTTAAAGGCTATACGGGAGATCCTTTGCCTTTGTGACAGTTTAAAAAAAAGAAACAACTGGCTTGTTGTGTTTCTGATGTGGTCTTTGATTAATCACTTGCCCGTTTTTGCCTAAGCGTGTTTGGTTAGACGTGGACACAATCGTGGGCACTGGTCACACCCTTCCATAACAAGATTCAAATTGAACAGGTTAATGATAAATGAATCATTTGGCGGGACCCCGGGGTTCCGCAAAAATCAGGTCAATAATTATTATTGTTTCAGTCCGCCCACTCATGATCCCGACAGCAACGCACCGCCCGCCCAGACTCGCGCCAACAAGCGCCAGCAGGTGGCGATCAACACGATGGGCGCCACCCCACCGGCCAAACGCGAGCCCCGGGGGGCGTCCGCCGCAGTCACGCACGGCGACGACGCCCTCCGGTCAGCCGTCGATCCTTAGCTTCTTTGCCTAGGCGAGCCCCGCCCCCCAGGCAGTGAATTTAACGTGTTTATGTAATTTTTCAACTTTTTACGAAACTTAGTGCCCCGAGTAGCTCTTTACGAGGCCAATCGATTGACGCTAGTTTTGTTGTCGGTAAGGCAACAAGACTCGTGTCGCTACGTGGGGTTTCCCACCCCGGGGCAGTGATGGGACCCCGGGGTCCCGCCAATTGCTTCAAATAATGACGGGATACATTTTCTGATGGCCAGTCGGCCAAAATGTCGATATGTCGTGTCCTCTCCATAAGAGTTCAAAAGCGTACGAATTATTATTTTCCTGTTATTTCACGTATATATATCTTCACAGAAGCAGAAACTTGATGACTCTTACAGGAATAAGCATTGGTTTGTTTGAAATGTAATCTATCGATAATGAATGCATATGCTCGTATGTACACATTCATATTATATTACTGTGCCTTGTATTACTGTATATTTACTGAAAAATAAAGAGCGCTAAACGATGCGTTTGGTGCACCAAGTGGATCGTTTAAAGTGACCGTTGTGAGTTTCAAGTCAATCAATTGTACAGCCCTTTATCAAGCCACTGCTGGATGAATGTCTTCCCCCCACGCTGGATATGACCCCCCCCCCCTTTCCCTAACAGGAGCACATGCACCAATTTTCAACGTTGGGACGGCCCTGCCTACTGCGGCCCGTCGCACATTGGCTGGATGTATTGTGTGAAGCGTTTGTGGATACCACGTGCCCACCGTGGGCTCTACTGGGCAGGCAAGGGGGGGCTGCATTGGCTGGGTCATGTGCAACCCCCCCCACACACTTGGCAATCACAAGCCCTGGCAGCTTTTGTTTGGCCAGCCAGAGTGACCCGTTGAGGCGCAGCGGGGATGAAAGGAGCAGGACCTGCAGCCAAGCAAGGCGATTGCCATCGATGTCTGCAGAGAGATGTTTCCTTGAGGAAATGAGTGAGATGTGTTTGGGGAATTGAGGGGAATTGAGTGACATACGATGACTAATTTGTTTGCGGATTCGTCGCTGCAGTTTTTGTGTTGCGGCATGCACCTACAAAATGCGCGCGAGGTGTCAACTTCCAATGAGTGAGCAGCATCGATCCTCCCTACCATCGAGCCCCGTGGACGCCGACACTTTTACCGTCGACCCTTTTGACGACTACCCTGTAAGATGACCTTTTTTTTTTTAGGCCGCATGACCTAAAAAGACGCCGTTAGATCGCTTGATGGCCCGGCCGCCTAATTGGGCCAGCTGACTGGCACTCGGCACCGTCGTTTAATTGACCCCGAACTTCGCGCGAAACGGAGCTCTGTCGCGAGCGATATTCATGAAACCTATTGGCACGCGACGTTGTTTTTCACATTCCGCCTCGTCGGAGGCGTGTACACACGTAGGGGAATTTTTGTTTGTTTGTCGGCAAGCTTTCGTCAATGAACACAAGCGGAGTCGATAACTCGAACGGAGAAACTTGCGGTACTGACTTGGATGTCTCATTTGCATGACTTATCAGCACGACGTTGGCAGACTGTCGGTATCCGGCGACACTTCATGAACCAGTTGGGGTGGGAATTTGTTCCAAGTGGAGTGACTGTCGTGGCGTCAGTAACTAACTCTACGTTTTTGTTTTCCTTCCAAAGTTGTGCTGCACGGCTCTCCGATGAGTTTTCGGGGGTCGTGCCGCGCGTTTTCCGGCGCGATGTCCCGACGTTTCGAGGGCAAGGAGCGAGCTTTGCTCAGTCCTGTTGCCGTAGAAGCTCCCGTCGCGTGGAGCGCAGTGTCGGGACGCCGCGTCGAACAACACGCCGCGCTACGGCCCGAAAAGCCGTCGGTGGGACGGCGAGGTAGCAACGTTAAGCTGGACACCACCAACCGCTCGAGCTGGACTCGTATGTTGCATCACTCTAAAACACTGATGAACGTTATCGGCATAGGTCAAACTCGCTCTCGTCAACCCACCGCCGTCGACAGAGCAACACGCTATTCGGGGCGCCGCCGTGGCGCCACGGGCCAGCGGTGAGCGAGGTTTTGCCCGCCCGTTGCATGGGTTCGCGGTTCCAATCCGGCAGGCCGCCCTGCTTATTGTTGCGCCGCCTGCTTCGCGGGGGGACGTTAAGGGTCCCGCGAGATCGTTCGAAAAGAGCAGCGCCATTGTGTACCGAGTGTCGGTGGTCCAACATTTTCAGGCATCAAAAATGGCCTGCAAGCTTGCTCAACTGGGACCATACACAGCAGCGTCGCTCGCCGCTGCGAAGCTACCGCAGACAGAAACACGGGCACCTTCCTTCGCGATAGCCCCTTGCGCCGGTGAGAATGGCGCGTGTACCAAACGTACTCATTTATTATAAAGGTCCGATAAGAGGAGTTTCTCGACGAGTTGCGGGGAATAAGTAGCCAAGCGAGTTCCGTTCCGACGCCAGCGTTCCATCTCCAACGCCAGGAGGCTCACCAAGTGCAGGCCCTTTCACGTCCTTGGCAGCGCCCCCCCGTTGCCACCTGGGTGAACACATTTTTTTTTGGGCGTCGCTTGCGAGGATGCACGGGCACCACGGTTCAGCCTTCGCACAGACTTTTATTTCGATTATTGCAGCAAAAGAGCAGCCACAGTCGTTATATTTCTGTTGACAAAATTGACATTTGTAATCAATAATAACAAAGTATAGTGGTAATTATAATAACATGTGAGGACTCTTCTAAACACTTTTCGTTCAACAATTTAAACATTGTAGATGATTTATTTTAGTGCACACGGTTACTCAACTACAGTTAACAGCGCCAACACAGAGCATGCAACTTAGGGCAGGCCTATGTAGGAACTGTGAAAGGTTAAACGTGGATTTGTTTCTTTTCTCGATAACGTGTTTTATATGTTCTCGTTTTTTTTTAACAGACGTGATATGTGCAGCCACCGGTTAGACTATCGATTCTCCCTCCCAATCTGGCAGCTCAAAGGGTAACTCATCGCCTGTGTATGACCCGTCCCCTCCCATAACTTTAAAGCCAGTAAGCGTACATTTTATAATACAGTTTGATTTATTATACCATAAGTTTATTGTAATGGCAGGGGACATGCACCGAATGAGAGAGGGACTGCGGTGATGCCTGCTTACCGCACGCTCGGATCATTTTATTTTTTGCCAGTTTTAAAAACCGCTCCAAAAAGCTGCCCTCGCATTATTCGACGCAGCCGTCGCACCTTCTCGCCACGCTCGGCGTTAGCCATTGACCTCTATGCCTGCCTCCAACCAAAACTGAATTATCTGGGGTTCACCTCTGATACAAAGGTAACTCGACGTAGACGCAATACACGCGGCTGTCACAGGCTTGGTGAGGCCACTCGCCGAGCGTCTGTCTTGTCGGAAATTGGGCTGCACTACTTTCACTCTGGCCACAATAATAACAACAACGAAGAGGCCACCCAAAGTTAAAACACGAGTGTCGGGAAAATTAAAAAAAGCCAACCCCGTAATCTTTCACAGCACCCCGAACGTGTGGCCACATGGAGATGCACGGTG